TTGGCAGGTGTGTACATCATATTTCCTTGTAAATATGCAATATAGAAAAACATGACAGACCTCATAACATCCTATGAATAGCTTAAAAATCCCCAAATCTAAAAACTGATTTGTGTCTTTTTCAATCTTCAAGACTTTGTTGGGCAGCTTTAGGTATGGAATCTCAATTTGTCCTCTCAGAAAGAAAATGTGGTATTAAAATACATAAATAACCAACAGTTTCTAAGTTTGAAAGAGCTCTCCTTATTCCCCGACAGAGCAAAAGTTGTCATTCCATCCTCATCTCTTCCCTCTACCAGGACTGGATATGCAGCTGCCCCGTTCAAATGCTTTCTTTATTCTCCCCAACAGTCTCCTTCAATTCACTCTCCCTATCCCCCTTTACTGTTTCTTTTCTTTCTACTTTTTATTACAGTGACAGTTTGTATCTTAAACCTCAGACTGGCTCTTGCAGCTTTTTTTTTTATTATTATTTTTACATTGTTGTTTTCCATACCATCCCTAAATGGAGTTCTCATTGTTCTGTCTCTCTGATGGTTGTGCTGATTCATTTGGTCCTCTCTCGCCTTCACCCGATGGGAGCTGCATTTGAGCCTGGAGGGGACTCCCTGAGGAGGACTCCCTTTTGCCAGTATGAAGTGTAGGATGAGGACTGCTACCACTTGGGATTTGGCAGAACTCAGCCTCACTGGTGCCAGCTGGAGGTGGCAGCCATTTTGAATTAAATAAGACCACACACTTGAAGAGAAGTACAGAATTAAATGAAAACTATGAAAAATAATATAAGCTGCTTAGAGCTATCAGATTTATACCAGAAAGTCACATTTTAAAACATTAAATTGTTTGATAACAAACTTGCAGAGATTTCATTAAGCTTATTAAGGTAACTGATAAACAATTAACATTAGAATAGCATGGAGTATATTAAATATTTACCTGTCCATTTCAGCAGCACTGCTTTAGCACATTCTTTTCATTTGACAACACTGAAGCTGTTGGAATTATTCACTAATTTAAACAAAGCTAAGCAATCTAGCAATATGAAAGCATTCTCTTTATTCAATAGTGCATTATAACTGCATATAAAAAGTAAATTGCAAGATCACTTTATATTTCATATTTGCTTGATTCTGTCTTTCTAAATGCAAGGAGCCCTCCATTAAATTCAAATGAGATATATGTAAACTGAGAAAAATGTTTCTACAATAAAACTAAGTTTTTCAGTAATGTACTTTAACCTTCAAGTTAGTTGGAAAATTCACTTTGTGACAGAAAGACTGGCATGGGTTTTTAGCTATAGAAGGCATAAATTACTTCATAATGAATTTCATCAAACAAAAACGCACTCAGTACAATCTTAGCTAAGTTAGCTAGGCTTACTTGAGCTTTTCTTACATTTGTTTCTTTGGAGTTGGCCCAGGTCAAGAAATTCAGGTATCAGATTGAATGAAGCTTTTGTTTCCTGATACAGCTGTTACTATCTTTTAACTTCCAATTACAAAACAGTTGGCTGGTAGGAAAAAAAAAAAAAAAAAAAAAAAAAGCTTCTGGTAGCTATTGGATCAAAAGACTCCATTAAACCTTGAATTTCTTTGGTTAAGTAGCATTTCTCTGTTTGTGACTGTCATGATTACTTTCATTATCTTAATATTTGATCTGCAAATGAAGCTGTCTCCTGTCTCCTTTCACATCAGTCTTCACAGCATCTGCAGGGAGCAAGAAGGGACATAAAGGAGGGCTGCACAGTGACCAGGGCTAGCCCTGTACTAGCTGAGGTTTCAACAAATGAGACATTTTCAGCTGCTGTCAGAAAGCAATTTTCCTGGCCTTTAATGATTCAGAGCAGTGCAAACAGGTTAGAGCAAGTGTTCAGAGACTCTTGATTACAGCATTAATTCAAGGCGAGTGGACCACACAGTCCAACATAAATAGACAGCAGAAAGCAAAATACAGGGGTGATTTAGCAAGCCGTTTTCAAATACCCTCATTTATCTTTCTCAGAGTTCAGCCACAAAGCTGGGCATATTTCATCTTCGAAAAGACAGCCTGAAACTTTACGAAACGCTGATAGTTTCACATTTCAGATTTCTGCTATGTGATTTTCATACAATTGTTAGCATTCCTTTTCCAGAATTATCGATATCATTGATTATCCAGAACAATTAATGGATCAGCATAAGATGGAATACAAAGGCCTGCAGACTAAATTCTGAAAACCGTCTGACCTATAACATCAAAATAAGATTCATTCCTTTCAATCTGTGTACTGAAGTAGGAGATATGTGGATGGTGGTTGTGGAAGGAAGGTAGCTAAAATGAGGAGCTGCAGTATGGAGTGGATGTGGTGGTAAATAGCAAAATATTTGTCTGCCTTTTTATTTTTTCCTGAGTAGGGTTATTACTATTTTCCTTCTTTAAAGGATTTGAAGTTATAACAGTAGCTCAGTAATGAAGAAACAGTAATTTGCAATTTGGAAGGTATTCATATCATACAGCCCACGTGCTGATTTTTGTTTTGAAATTTCATACTTGCCCTATTTCTGTTTCAGTTGGAATGCCTTTAGAACTGGTGTTGTGACAAGTGGCTCATTAATGTTTTCTACATCTAAGTAATGTGGCACCATCCCGTTTGTAATAGTGGTGATGGTTTTTCATAGATGATAAGCCTTGTAAATAACTCCTTGTACGTAAATTTGGAGATTTGAAGGAAGTTGGGAGTCCTGGAAGCACTCCTTTGGCTAGCGATTGCTGCTCCACGTAGCTGTGTGCTCTGGCCATAAAAACGCTGCGTGCAGCTCAGCTGCCGTTGCGCGCTGTCAGCTCCGTGCGGCACGCGCTGCGTCTGTCCGAGCTCCTCTGGGCAGCGGAGCGCAGCAGCCCGAGCTGAGCTGAGCTGAGCTGCCCGGCGCTGCAGGCCCTGCTTGGGCAGCCAACGCCGCCCCCGTCGGACTGCAAAACCCAGAATGCCGCGGCAGAGCATGCGCTGACAGCTCCCAGTTGTCAAAGTGCTCTTGCCAGAGTGGCCGACTGTTTGTCACACCAAACCCGAAAGGACAAAATAAACACACTGTTTTATTGAGCTTTAGATACAGAAAATCCAAAGGTAACTGTTCCTTAAGAATTTCTGTGTCGACTGCATGGGTTACTGCATGCAAGCAGAGGCGGTATTGCTGTGGGGATATAGATTTCCTGTTCTGGTTTGTGTATTTGCTCAAATACTTATAGCACCTCTTGATTATTTGCTGTGTATAGTCCAGTGTTAGACATGGGTGGCCTCTCAGTCTTTCTTTTTTTTATCCAGTGTTTTTCCATTCAGACTGGCTTTGCTGTTAAAGGTAGGTCTTGACCTTGACAAGAGAATTGAATTGTGGTGATTTTACCTTTAAGAAACTGTATGAAAATGAATGTGGATTACAGTCTTTAGGATAAAGTTCAAAAACAAATGGCCAAGTCAAGGTACATATGTGAAACAACTGCTGTGCTAGCCACTATAGATAACCTGATGACTAACTGATTTAAATATACTTTACTGATGGCAGGACTGTAGTATTTCAGCTGCTGTATTTTTTTCTCAATATACTTTTGTGCAGGGAAGGGGTAAACAATTATGCTTTTTGTCTCTGCTATAAAATTGTCAATAATTTTCTGCAGTCTTAGAATTAATGGTGATGTTGCTATAAACGCAGATGATGGAAAGCTACATGAAGCTTGGTGTGTTCTGGTTTTTCTACAGCACTGCTTTAAGCTGCCTCCACGTTTCCCCTGCCCCATTGGCAGCAGCAGGGCTGCTGGCTGGGTGTGATAGTTTGCCCCATTCTTGGGAACTTGCCCTAATGTTGTCTCACAGCATAGACTTGCATGAACCCTTGCTGTTCGTTTTGTATGGAGAGGGGAAATACTAGGGAGCAAGCCAAGTAACTTACAGAAGAAATGTATCCTTACATTCATTTAAGGTAAAAAGTCTGTGAGTGACTATGTAGGAATTAAAAAATAATAAACTAAAGGTGTGTATAGGCCATCTCAAAACCGTTGTCAGGAGTCACTGACTTTGCTCTTTGACACCTTTCTTAACCAGATAATTGGTTTGGCTGGACTTTACTTTGTTACTTTGAAACAGCAATCCTAAAAACAGCGTGGCCAAGCTGTTGTGATTAGCTCAGTAGAAATGCAATTAGGCATTTGGTGATCACCATCTTTTACATACTTCAATTGAGAAACTGGTTTTGGCTCATTCAACGTGCTTTTGAAATGTATAATAATCTCTTCAATTGACTAGAAGTCTGTGACATGTGGAGGATCCTGTTTTAGTTCCATGCAATGATGTTTACATCTGCATTACTATTATGGTGTTTTGAAATATTGATCAAATTCCAGTACCTGCCCTCCTTTATATGAATCCCCCCTTCTATCAGGTATAAGACTCAGTCATGCTATGTACACTCGCTTCTAAAGCGAGTTTAAGCTTACGTATCGATGTAGCAAATAAATTCCATCACTAGTCCTTGTCTTGTGCATCTAAAGACGGCCGTGTCTCTACTTAAAACATTCGACTTAACCTCATTTTAATTTTTCACTGTGAAAGCATCGGGAGCGTTACAGCCAAGTAGCACCTCCCCGATTTGCTCCTTTTGGCCTTATATTTCCCTACGAACAGATGACGGACGGTTTTCTGGAGAAGGCAATAGAGCGGGACGCCTTTGCGGCGAAGCAGCGCTGCGCCCCGCAGTGCTGCCGGCTCGGCCACGCCGAGGGTCGCTCCCCGTCCCCGCGGCCCCAGCACGGCGGTGCCGGCCGGAGAGCCTGGCTGCTTGCTGGGGAAATGGGTACCGGCTCCTTTAAAGGTGCCCTCATCGGAAAGGGGGTGGAGAAGAGCGGAGACTGGTGTCTCTTTAACCTTGCTGAAGGACGCAGCAGTATTTATTGACGTATGCAAATAGCCAGGGGGAGGAGGTGGAGGAGGAGGAGGGTGCTTGGAAAAACAGGAACCAGAATCAGTTTCTCATTGCAGGGTGAGAGCTCTGAGTTCCGGTGTAAGAGAAAAGAGACGTGGCGAAATTGCTGTATATCTCTGCCCTATAAGCACATCTCTCATTTAGACTGAAGGGAAACAAGGCATCAAAAAGGGTGAAGCATCTTAAAAAATATTTTCAAGACAATCTAGCATGATCAAAGCTTACATGTTCCTAAATGGGGGAGGGGGAAGATTACGGGTTTGCCTTGCAACTTGCTGTAGCATATAGCACTACTAATAGGAGGAGATTTTTGACCGGCAAATGATTAAAGCAGCCTCATTTGTGCTATGAATGACAATGCTAATAATCTGTCTTTGTGGTTTTTTCCCCTACTGTTTCAGCTGTGCAAACCATGCAGGATGATTTACTGATGGACAAAAGCAAAGCCCAGCCCCAGCAGCAGCGGCAGCAGCAGCAGCAAGATCCAAACTCAGCAGAAGCCCCCTCTACGCCCATCTCGTCAGAGACGCCCAAGCCAGAAGACAGCAGCTCAGTGACTAGTATCGGCACATCGGCTCCTTCCCAAAATAGCAAGGAGAAGATGCAGATGGAGTCTCCCATTTTGCCTGGCTTGAGCTTTCACCAGCCTCAACAAGAACCTGCAGCCGGCACCTCCTTGTCTCCCTCCTTCGGCAGCACCTGGTCGACGGGGACCACAAACACGGTGGATGATAGCTTTTTCCAGGGGATTACTCCGGTCAATGGAACAATGCTTTTCCAGAATTTTCCACACCATGTCAACCCTGTATTTGGTGGCACTTTCTCTCCTCAAATTGGCCTAGCTCAGACTCAACACCATCAACATCAGCAGCAGCAGCAGCAAGCTCAGCAGCAGCAGCAGCAGCGGAGGTCTCCTGTGAGCCCTAATCAGGTGCCTTTTGCCCAGAGAAATGCTGCTTACAGCCATCAGCCCATCATGACCAGCAAACCGTCTTCCTCTTCTGCATCCTCTTCTTCTTCCTCCAGCTGGAATAACCATCAAAATGCAGCTTGGAGTACACCTTCCAACCCTTGGGGTGGGCTGCAGGCTGGTAGGGACCCTCGAAGGGCAGTTGGAGTGGGGGTTGGCGTGGGAGTGGGGGTCGGTGTACCCTCCCCCCTCAATCCCATTTCACCCCTTAAAAAACCATTCTCCAGCAATGTCATTGCCCCTCCGAAGTTCCCACGGGCTGCACCCTTAACCCCCAAATCCTGGATGGAAGACAACGCGTTCAGGACAGACAATGGCAACAATCTGTTGCCTTTTCAGGTAAATGTACCTTCTACATAGTGACAGCTATCACAGTTGTATTTTATTGCAGGGATATATTTCACTTTACTTTTCTATATGAGAGACATCTCCATACTTCATGTCTGCACTGAATAGTCATCCCATATAAAAGAAATAAGCTTGGTCCCAGGGAGGTGCACACTCAGAGGTTCCAAATTTGGGCTTGGTGTTAACAGTCTCCTTGTACTTATAATCTGTTCTTAAACATGACGGGGCTTAACCTTGTTGTTGTTGTTGTTGTTTGTTTGTTTGTAGCATTAGAAAGGTAGTAGCCTTCCTACGTGAAAGGCAGGTTTGGCAGACTGTGTTCTATTGCTGCTCTGTTTTTTTGGTTTTTTTTTTTGGTTTTTTTTTTTTTTTTTTCTCGTGTTTTCCCATATGAGAAGAGCAGGAGACATTAAAATTGCTTGCTTCAGTATTCTAACTGGCATGTTAATTTTAACCAAAGGTGCTTTTGAACTTGAAATCCAGTCGATTATTTTATCACTATTGAAATAACTGCTTGTCTTTATGTTGGGGCATTTAACAGGGGGATCTGTTCATGTAAGGTACATATAGGAAAAGCTGTGTATGTCTGATATATCCCCCTTTGCTGTTATATTCATGGTGGACGTTTTGAATATGTCTAGAAGCAGCGTGGGTGTGTATGGAAAGAGTGGCGTCTCTGTCCTTTCCAGTAAGGAAATACCCAATACAACTGGTGTGATTTAGGAATGGCAGGGAGGTATTGTATAAAATAAACTAATTTATGCTGTTCAAAATATTTGCAGAGAAAAGAGACAATAGGACACGACCTTCAGAGCCATATTGCAATGGAGTCTATTTACTAGCTACATAGCTCTGAAATATTTAAAGCTGCAGTGCCCTTCAGTGTTTTTTTTTATCTATGACGACAAAGCAGATCAATTGCAGCTGAAACTGGGCCACACAGAAGATTTGCAATTTTAATGCAGAACGAAACCTGTCATGGTGTGAAATCCATTTTAAGTTGAAAGAAGCAGGGCATGCACTTGCGGTTTTATTTATACAAGGTGAAGTGAATCACTCTTTTCTGCCAGGCTAGCTTTTTTAGTCTCAGATATGTCAAAATTTCCTGTTTTGGAATGCAGTGAAATCATTTGTGTACGCTTTATTTTAAGGTACTAGCTTTCTCAGTATCTATGAACTCCCAAACATTTGTAACAGATCAGTTTTGTATGAATAGTGTTTAGCTTGACATTTAGTGTCAGAAACAAAGCAAACAAACAAGAGACAAACCCCACTCATTACTTTAAGAGATTGTTGAAGTAAGATATATGCATTCCTGTGCACTTTTTAAGACCCATTCAAAGAGAGTATCTTATAGTCTGCCCTGATATTTCATTTTGCTGCTTCATTCTATTTAAAGGGAGAGTTGCTCATTTTTTATTGGCTACCCTAAATTAAGGTGGAGTGTCTGTTGATTAACTGCTGGGCAATGTCTCTAGCTCTGAAGACGGGAGAAAGGTTATATTTCAGATACAATATGCCTAGTGAAGCTATTATGTTGCACGGAACTCTCTAGCACAAAAGCCAGTGGATATAGCACTCAGTCACTCCTGAAGGAGTGTCAAATGTTTCAGTTTACAAGTGCTCTTTAATTTATCACCCTTTAAAAGTTATAAACTTGGCTAAATTTAGTAGGACTAGCAATAGCAATGATCTTATTTCTGCGCTTCTGTCAACATGATACATGAAGTTGTATATTCATTAAGGAGATATTTATTATTGCGACTAGAAATTGTCACAGATTAATCTGTCTGGTATTTAGTCATCATGGTGGGAAGAAAGGAAATAAATGCTTTGAAGAGAAGTTCATTTCATTTTTAAAGTTAAGGTTTTGAAAATGTAAGTTATTAGTCAGTATATAAATTTGGAAATGTTTTCTTCTCTTTGAACGTGATCTTGTGTTTTCAACTGAAAGCAAACACTTAGACTAATTTCAGCACCAGCTGAAGTACCAGTCTGATTTCAGAGACTTGGAAAGCTTGTGGTTTTTTTAATTTATATTGTTGTTGTACTATAAAAAACAAACAAACATTCTTTTTAGTACAAACTGCTGAACTTTGCATATGAGGCTGTGATCTGCATTAATGCCAATTGCTCTTATTCTTCACAAATTGCCAAAGAAATCTTGAAACTGTACTTCTGTTAGGAAGCAACTGTTTACTTCAAATTTACATTGATAAAATGATTTTCATATGAGTGTAATATTTGCTGCCTAGGTTGTGGTTGCGTTTGTTTGTTTTTCCTCATAGAAATTGGGCAATATGTTGACACAGTAAGTACTGCTTGTCAGCACTATCAAGTAATTCTGGCAGGTTTGTCCATGTACATCTGCCACCCTTCAGAACTGAAGCTTCTGTTGTTGTTTATAACTTGCTTCAGAAATACCTTTCAGTAAACTTCCCATGCAAATAAAAATTAGTAAGTTCCATATACTAACCCTTTATTTTTACCTTTCATTGAATCTTACAGTCTTTTTACATTTTTAGTTGATCTTGAATTAATTAATTATTAACGTGTGAAGCTCAAGGTGTTCTGAGTCAAAATGAAACTAATGTGTTCACTGTTGGAATGAACAGTGATACTTTTTTTTTTTTTTTTTTTTTTATTTTTTTTTTTTTTTCAGTTCAGATTTTAATCATCAAAAATTTGGTGTAGAGAATTTCTGTAGTCCAGAATCGTATTCTGAATTTGTTATATTTGAAGATAGCTGGTATCAACTTCTGGTTAATTTAGTTCTGAAGAAAAAATAGAATTGCTTGATGTTTCTCTAATGAATATGTGTATAGAGAAATAAGCTAAGGGTCTTTATCCCTGAATTTGAGCAGTAGATTAGTGTGCCTTGTACATAAGAGCCTATAAGGTGGCTGCTTGGAGGACCTGTGCTAAATTACGAGAGCACATAAAGTATCAATTGAGAGGAATGCTGTTGGAATCTGAGTCATGATCAGTGCTGAGAGGCAACTAAAAATGCTTTGAAGGAAACTGTTTTAGTATGCATACTGAAGAAAATGGCTTGTGTTGCATTAAAAAAAACTGAAGGTACAAAGCTGATAGCTGTAAAGAAGAACAAAAAAGGCAGTTGGTATGGAATGAAATGTACTGTAGCAAATAAGAGTTGGAGATAAGATTGTGGGAACAGATGTGGAACAAGGCCAGATCTGAAGCGTAGAAATGCAGCCAATCTGTTCTGAATGTTCTTCGGCTTATGGGTGGTTCAGGCCAAATTCACCTGTTGTGTTTGCCATGTGATGAGCAGCAGTGTTTGCCGTTATGCCAGGTTATCCTCATTTCTGATATTTGAGGTTGGCATTAACTGATTGTCCCTGGGACTAGGGCTGTGGCTCAATTCCTTTTTACAGTAGAGCAGTGGAGCTTGAAGAGAGCTATTGTCATCTCATGCTTCTGAGTTGCTCCCAGAACTCTTTTTTTCTTTCAGTTCTCTCAGGTAAATAGTGTATTTCTTTTGGCTTTTTCCTTTCGGATGTATTGTGATGCAGCTTGTGGGGTTAGGAGGATTGATAGTGCCTGAAATAGATCCTTGAAAGAATGGACAAGAAATTATCTTTACTGTAGAGAAGGAATTAAATATTTGGAGGCCAGTATGTTGATTAAAGAAGTCTACCATGTGGGATTTTAGTAGAACAATAACACTATAGCAAATAAATGAAAGATTTCTCAGAATTTATACAAGTTTTGTTAGATATACTTCTTTCCCAGTAGTGTTCTTTAGAAAGCATCAAAAATGCATAATAGCAAACTATAGATTTAAAAACTGCGCAGCATATTCAGTGCTCTGAAAATTCTGGCATGTATCAAGTCATTCTTGACAGCTTTACTGACAAATACATCCCTAATAAAAATAAACAATGGGGTATTTACTGTAGATAAAGATAATTTTAACATGCCTTCTTTTTCAGAGCCTGTTAGTAGCCAGGGGTCAGAGATAATAATGACAAAACTTCCTTGTTTTCTATTTTTGAAAAAGGAATTTAAAATTTGAAATAGCAATTTGTTAAAGACCTAATTAATTTCAGTCTTGAAAACTTGAAGACTTCAAGCCTAGATTTTTTTTTTTTTTTTTTTTTTTTTTCTGGCTAAAAATTGCATATCATATAATAAATGTATTTGAAGACTTTTTGAAATGCTATTTCCCTGTTCTAAATTTGACAGTCTGAGTGCTGGCTTATTGACAGTATAGTAACTATACTGGTAACAGGAGCACTATTGCTGTCCTGAAAACTATTTCTTCAAGTGTAGTGTAATATTAATTTTCCTTTCTGATGCTACACAAGTACTGACAGCCTGTGACTGTGAAATAAGCAAACAAAATGGCACAGAATAACTTAGTTGGATTTTCTGCTCTTCTCTCCTGCCTTCTGATGTGCTTCTGGTGTTACTGTGTCACTGAACATAAATAAGGCCTGAATTCTGAATATTCAGGAGTGAGAATTGAATTTCTGTGTTTTCAAATAAATTAAGCAATAACACAGTATGGAATAACAAATGCATTGCTGTTTCATATTAAAAGTGTGATGATTTGAGCACTAATCACTGATTGCCTTTGATTTTAAGTAAACAGTGAGTCCCGTTTAAGCCCTCACTCAAAATTAATGAAGGTGGAATGAAGATGTGAGTTCAATATGCAGGTGAAGGTCTCAGGAAGTCTATAGATAGACAGAACTTCCTCAAAGATGTTGAAGGTCTTAATATAGTACAATGGATCGATGATTTTGTCTTATGCTAAAGGAATTATCTGCCTTTGGAAGGTAAGCTGGAAGGTGAAGAGCATGCTGTTTGTTATGCTGTTTCCTTTCTTGGGTTGCATTCCCTGGGTTGGTTTGTTTATTTATTGACCAAAGGCAGCTTTTGTGAATTGAATGTCGGATAGAGAGATATGGAAAACTAATGCTTTCCTGGCCTAGATGATTTTCAAGGAGAAAATCTCAAGGAGT